TGTACTGTTTGCATGCAATTCAAAATTCATGTCATGCACGTACATTTCGGACTGCAAGCTGAAGATGTGTTTTGGCGTTTTGTTCAGGATGGTGTGCACACAACCAAACACGTCTGTACACACGACGACAGAGGACAATTATCACGCTAAGTAACATTTTTCAATAACTAATCACTTTGTTTTCTCCTCCGTTACTATTCTATGATAAAACATGCTGATTGCGTTTTCATTGCCTCTCAGTATAGTAGTGAACATAAACTATAAAAAGAGCCCCATGAAACCTACAGAAGCGATAAGCACTTGGGCCGCTTTTTGTCCGAAAAAATTGTTCAACGTGAAATTAATACAGTATACTACGGTTATAACGAACTCAAAGGGACCAGTGCTTTTAGTTCGTAATAACCGAAGTTTGTTATAAGCATATAAACAGCATATATACATCAAATGGGCGGGACTAAAAAATAAGTTCGTTATATCCTTCATTTCGTTATAAGCGTGTTCGTTATAAACGTAGTGTACTGTAAACACAAAAGGCCCTTTCACTGGAAACAATAACATGAAGCCTACAGAAGCGATAGGCACTTGGGCCGCTTTTTGTCAGAAAAAAATGTTCAACGTGAAATTAATACAGTATACTTGATAAGTATCTCTTAGATAAGCTAACTTCAGTTGTTTCTGAGAAAACTTGTCCCCATTGCACAAATGACACGGACCTAAGGCTGTAACTGTAAACAATTTATTGACGGGACCAATTTTTAAACTCTTGACAAGTATCTCCTGGATTCATTCAAGTAAATTCAGTAGTTTCTGAGAAACGTAGAATGCACTAGGTTGACAATCACGGAACAAGGGCCAAAACTCTGTAAAAACTGAATTTACGACATCAATTTGAAATCATTCCCAGTGGCACCAGTGTGTAAAATTTCATTTCTCTGACTAGTTTTGAGACAATTTGTCCCCTTTGAGAAACGGACGGACAGACGGAAAGGACGGACGCGAGGACGGACGAACTCCGTTCCAACATCCCTCGCCCCACCATTGTTATATGCGTCGATATGTAAGCTATCGATAGATCGGTGTATTTACATGCAAGTGTTTTGTGCGGAAGCGTTTGTTAATTTAAGTGCCAAAAACTCTATAGCTAGACTTACATATGTTCAATCATAGTGTACAAAGCATATTTCAACATTGGCATTTAGTAACCAAATACATCAAGATCATTGAAAATGACACGGCATACATAAATAATGGCTATCTTTTTGTGTTTGGGTTGCTGTTCAAATAATATCATCATATCGAGTTTACACGTTCTACAGAAACAATGAACAACCGCATAAGTGTGGTTCTTACTTGTCTGACATCCAATGCCAGTGTACCCATAATCACAATCACCGAGACACTGTCCTGAGTTCTTGTCACAGACTTCTGAGTTCTTCAGACACCGACACTGTTTGTCACAGTTGGTACCAAACCAGCCGTCACTGCAAACTGAATTGATGAAAGGTTACCGAAAAAAATGAAAAGCGACATTAACACATCACAATGGTACTGAAATGTATATAAAAAGTTAGTTTGATACTTTTCTGTCTTAGCTACACATGGTCCCCATACTTGTCGGAAGTTACTGACCAAGACAGCTGAATGTCTATTACCGTCACATACAGACGTTCCTCCGATGTTTTTAGTACTATCAATGTATACTCACACGCAAAGGAAACGCAAGTGGTTTTAAGCAAATAGGTACAAACACGGAACCATAACATGGACGTATCGGATGTTTGGAACCTGGAGAGTCTGTCCAAGATGTTGCCCGTCATTTCAACGTTAACATAACAACAATTTACCGTCTCATGCATCGATACAATGCTACACAGACCACAGATGATCTACTTCGGATCAGTCGTCCTAGGGTCACCACACCTCGATAAGCTCCGCAGATTACTCGCCAACACCAGCGACATCCGTTCCTAACTGCAAGTGAAAGTGCTCGACAGACCATAGGAACTCATAATCGACACATTAGCCGGGACACTGTGATCCGACGTCTCCGTTCCAACAACCTCAGATGTCGCCGACCTGCACGTCGTCCTGTTCTCCAACCACGGCATCGACAAGCACGACTTCAATGAGCACAGGGTCATCACAATTGGCGTCATCGTGAGTGGAGGCGTGTCATCTTCTGTGGTGAAAGTCGCTTTTGTGTCTCCCATGCAGACGGAAGAGTAAGAATTTGGCGGCGTCGAGGTGATCGTTTCGCTGACAGAAACGTTGTGGAAAGGGATCCATGGGGTGGACCTAGCGTCATGATATGGGCAGGGATTGGACTTAATGCGAGACTTGGACCCATGTGCTTTCTGAATGTTGGTCAAGGTCGGGGACACGGCGTCACTGCTCAGCGGTATATCGACCAAGGGATCAGACCCCATGTTGTTCCATTTTTTGCACAACATCAACAACACTTTTTCCAGCAGGACAACGCTCGTCCCCATGTTGCCAGAGCTACCATGGCCTTTCTGCAATAACACAACATCCGTGTTCTACCGTTGTCAGCCCTGATCTGAACCCAATCGAACACTTGTGGGATGAGGTTCAAAGGCGTCTGCACAATGTGCGCCCAACTGCCGATGAACTACGGGCAGCTGCTCTGGATGTGTGCAGGAGGATCCCTAGGGCCTTCACAAATCGTCTGATCCACTCAATGTACCGGAGATGTGTGGCAGTGATCAATGCTAATAGTGGTCACACTAGGTATTGACTGACATTTTAGGTATTGACATTAACATTTGAAAAAAACCAATTATGTCATCTGCCGTTTAATCCATTAAACTGTCTTCAGTCAATTTTTTTTTCAATCTTGCCCTATTAGTATTTCTTGTCTTTACTGTTGAAAATAAATAACATCTATACTGCATACTCTACTTGCGTTTCTTTTGCGTGTGAGTATACAATGTAATTAAAACGCAAATCTTTAAGCCTATACGAAAGTAATAAGCCATGGCTAGTTATGATAGGGTTATTATAACTATCAGTTGAAATATCCAATACTTACCAAATATTTGCACCTCACACAAAGTAAGTTGTTTATCTAAGCCATCTGGCACTCGTATAGTGACGGTGTTCCCTGTCAGTGGCTGGCGGCAGCTGACGTTAGCTATAGAAGGAGGACGTTCAGTTGATGACCAGCTGTAGCACATATGGCTACCCACAAGTATCTCCATGCCGTTGTACCTGGTCTGATGGTTGGCTGTACAAAATGAACTATAAATGTGTACAGTTTTAACTGCAGAGTTATGTGTGTTTCTGGTCCTTGATTGGCGTTAGATATAGGCGCGTATTAAGTTGATGACAGTTAGAAATATGGGTAACGTATGAATATCATATCCGTGTTATTGTTTCTTCCTAAGATTCTTAATGTGTTTACTTTATATCAAATTGAGAATGACCGATTGTATGCCTATAAGGGTTATGGTTATAAAGGAACTGCTCAATGACATTATTTACTACACAATAGCCAGCAAACTTCCCATCCCGGATTAGAATTGGTCGCCAGTTGCATTATGCTTTTTTACAACAAAACAAATGATCTGTGATCAGGCTATGTTTACTCGGTGTGTTGAGTGTCATCGTACCCCGACAGAGGGGACGTTGCTTACAATAGGAATACATTGTGTGACCGCAACAGATCCGATCATTTACTTCAGCTGAAATATTCCGCAAAAAACAACAAAAGGTTACCTGAATGTCACTTTTTTATACCTTTATATTCATCCATATTCAACGATGAACACAATTCGATCAACACATCCACACAGTTTTGGATAAGAAAACCTTTATGTAAAAGACCGTACTTGTCTGTTTAAATGTTTAAACACAAACAGAATAATTAGTGCTACCTGTGCGGATACTCACGGTTATCACGTAGATACAGTCGCAAGTGCTCTATCTTGTATGTGGTATTCAGAGATAGCCGCCAATAATGTTGCTCACTGCTGTTTCCTGTATGTGTACATGTGAAGGGTTTTTCATAAAATGTTGTGGTAGTCCTACCATCTACTCCAAGGCTGGCACGGAACTCTATATGTTCTGTATATGTGGAACTCTGTACGGCAGACATCCCCAAAGCAATATTTTCTGAAACATATATAGTGAGTGAGTGAGTGAGTGAGGTTTTACGGCGCTTTTAGCAATATTCCAGCAATATCACGGCGGGGGACACCAGAAACTGGCTCCACACATTGTACCCATGTCGGGAATCGAACCCGGGTCTTCGGCGTGACGAGCTAACGCTTTAACCACTAGGCTACCCGACCGTCCCTTGAAACATATATAAAACATATGTGTTAGCATTGGTTTCTAGGTGAACATTTACGTTTCAACTTGGGAATCACATGCTAATAATATCAACTTATCAAAGCTAACTGGTGAAATCAGTAAATAACCACACAAGATCAATGAATATTTAACAAATTGTAGTTTAGAATCACAAGAGGCATTACAATGGTATGATTGTGGGTTCGAATCCCGGTTCGCCCCGATTATGTTTCTAGGTTTGTCAGCACCATACCCGTGCTCATTGGTTTCACCGAAGTGTTAAACGTCTTATACCTGCATCACCTCGGGCATTCCTCCCACATTAAGCTGACACGCCGTGATATAACTGGAATATGTGGCAACATCAACATATAATAGGCCCTTTTTTACATAAGTGCACTGACGAAGGTCATGAATTTCTTACCTAGGGTATCCCAGTGTCGATTCACAAAGGCAGATAATTCTTAAGTACTCTGGTTGACTCACACCATCAATACAAAAATCCAGCAACAAAGGCACTTGAAAGTTAATACTTCAATTTTCCGCCACTAACCATCATCAGAAACAACCTACAATATCCCCACTGCCACATAAGAACGTATTTATGAGACAGGGAACACCATTTTGTCTGAATACCATAGATAAATGTCGAACATAGATACTAGTAACTCTATAGTACTTACGTTTCTGACAGTACGCACCAAACCATCCCACCTGACAACTGTCCGGATTGCCGACCTGGCTGCAGGGAGCGGAGGGGAACACAGTGCAGGCATCCGTGGTATAACAGTGACACTCTGCGGCTGTTGGATAATTAAACTTCGTGTCAGTTATATTTCTTGCGAACCATACCCATCGTATTTATGTCGGTGTTGCCAAAGAGTCAAATATACTGAACAACAAAAGTTCCTGTGACATTGAATAAGATTTAATGCCAAGTTATGTTTTTTTAACCAAATCTGAAACAATTTCGGTTTGCAGCAGATAAAAGTCTCATGTAAATGTTCAAATGGTTTAATTTGCTATACTGGCTTCAGAAAATGTGTGATTTCATAAACAAATGAACATGCCAAATGTCAATTTACAAATGAATAGCGTGTGTGTCCACCTCTAGTTGCGATGCAAGCAACACATCTTCGTCTCATGGAATGGACCAGGCGTCGCACAAATTCCTGTGGGATATCTGTCCATATCTGCTAGAGCATGTTTCGAAGTTCCTGGCCATGGAGTGTCTGTGGAACACGTGGTTGACGTCGAAGGCGCCGATCCATATCATCCCACATGTGCTCGATTTGGGAGAGATCAGGGGAGCGAGCCGGCCAGGTGATGACATTCACGTTGTTTTGTTGAAGAGAGTCCTGAACAAGTCGAGCAATGTATCTGGCCGGGCGTTGTCATGTTGAAAGGTAATGCCTGGGCCATGACGACGCAAAAACGGTAGAACAACAGGGCCGATGATCTCGTCGCGGTAGCGCTGTCCATTGAGATTTCCCTCTACCACTATCAAACGGGTCCTCTGTCTTGCTGTAATCCCACCCCATACCATAACGCTGCCGCCCCCGAACCGATCTTCTTCCATGACACAATGATTGACGTAACGTTCACTTCGACGTCGGTACACTGGAATCCGTCCATCGCTGTGGCTGAGGTGAAAACGAGACTCGTCGGTGAATAGAACTTGTCCCCACTGCATGGCCGTCCAGCGTAGACGCTGTCTGCACCACTGTAGACGTGTTTGACGGTGGTTTCCTGTCAAAATGGGACGTCTGGTCGGTCTTCTGGCGACAATCCCTGCACATCTAGGGCGGCGACGTAAGGTTTGTGAAGATATTCGTCGAAGGCCAGGGATGCTTCTTGCAGTCACTGTTGCTGGCTGGAATCGATTTCGTAAGTGTGTTGTTCGAATCCAGTTGTCTTGTCGATTATTGGTTACGCGTGGCCTGCCACTCCGAGGATGGTCTCTGACTGCATTCGTCCGTTGCCAACGTTGCCATAAACACGAAATGGTGTTTCTGTGGACGTTAAATTGTCTTGCAACATCACGTTGACTCGATCCTGCTTCAAGCATACCAATGGCTCGCAGACGCTCATTTTCGGACAGGCGTGGCATTTCGTAATGTGGAATAATTGCGTAATTTTGTTGTTTTTCTGAGAGGTTGTTGTCAGCACGATGCTATACAACGCGTATGGAATCCCATTAATGCACATGCTTTTATACCCATTCTTGGGTAGTGAAATGCATGGGGCTTGCATAAAAGTCAACTTTTGCATGGAGTGCATGCTTTTCTGTAGCAGTTGCGTTTTTGTGTCTTGATTCCATACATGTACTACAATACTGAAAACCAAACTTTACTTGTTAGAAAAATACACTAAAATATTGGTGTCACAGGAACTTTTGTTGTTGAGTATATATAGATATAGCAATGTCATTTGAAGTCACTGCATGCCTATGTATCATTGCTCTACCTGTTAGAGGCACAGTGCCAGAGACCACAATCACTCCGAGCAGGATTCTTTCCATGGCGTGTCTGTCAGGAAGACCTGATTGAAGAATAAGCTTAAGTCAACTTGTATGCACTACAAAGAGATAAAATATTCCACGGGTAAAACATATCGGTGAAAATATTTATGATACGAGTAGCAACTTCTTGAACACAGAGAACCTTACAAGCATTCTAGATGTTTGTTTGAATGTTTGTGGACTTTGATTGTGACATTCGTCATATTGCAATGACATGTGTATGCAATCAAACCTGATATAAATACTTACCTTTGTAAATGAATAGCTTTCTACAATATAACAGACTAAAGAAGACAAAAGACTGCAACCACACCAACGAGCAAATTGTATTATACCAAATTATATATCAGGCTTGACAAAAAAAGACCAGAAGATATTCCAAATGTAACTTTTGTAATAATGAAATGAGTAAACAAACAGCAATGAGTACTATATGGTGCCTCGCGTGTGTTGTAAGGGTAGAACAGTATGTAAAGGAATTATATTTTCACAAATGCATTGGTTATCTTCAAAGCTGCGAACACAAGAAAGAGGATACATTCTGAAAGGTGTTGCTGGCCAGAGATCAGAGCATATTGCAACAAACCTAGAAAGTATTGTCTGACACATTACACATGATAATCATTGGTTTGTTTGTTTGTTTGTTGATAACGCCGTATCAGCTATATGGCGGCGGTCTGTAAAGAATCGAGCCTGAACCAGACAATCCAGTGATTGACATCATGAGCATCGATCCAAGCACTTGGGATACAATGACATGCATCAACCAAGTAGGCGAGCCTGACCACCCGATCCCATTAGTCGTCTTTCACGGCAACTATGGGTTGCTGAATAACACAGGAAAAAAAAGACTTAGGTAGGATATTTTCCACGATAGTGTACTTTGCTGCACCAAAACTGCAAGAGGCATCAGACCACCTTCAGTGATGCTCAGATGAAAGATTGTAACCGAAGATTGGCTTGTACATTAGTACGTGTTTTAGTGTCGGTATTATCAGTTGTGGAGAACAAAACTACATGTATTTGTCATATTTGTTAACTGACGGTCAGCCATTCCAATCATTTGTTAAAATTAAGCATTATCGAATCTATCGTCGACACATACAATGTATTTTCATTCATGGAATAAATTTGTAAATGTTATATGAACTTCAAAACCTTGCGATAAATGTACTAGCAAAATACATTTAAAAATCCCGTTTTCTTATTTCAAACTCAATCTGAATGTATGTTTTGAGTGTTATATTATTAAATGTATGCATCATGCAGTTGCAAATATCTTGGCCCATGTCACTCTGGGGTGTTCTCAACCTAGGCCCAAGTCACTGTGGGGTGTTCTCAACCTAGGCCCAAGTCACTCTAGGGTGATATTAACCAGGACCACAGTCACTCTAGGAGTGATATTAACCAGGGCCCAAGTCATTCTGGAGTGATGTCAACCAGGGCCCAAGTCACTCTGGAGTGATATCAACCATGGCCCAAGTCACTTTGGAGTGATATCAACCAGGGCCAAAGTCACTCTGGAGTGATAACAACCAGGGCCCAAGTCACTCTGGACTGATATCAACCAGGGCCCAAGTCACTCTGGAGTGTTCTCAACCAGGGCCCAAGTCACTCAGGGGTGATATCAACCTAAGCCCAAGTCACTCTGGAGTGATATCAACCTAGGCCCAAGTCACTATGGAGTGATATCAACCTAGGCCAAAGTCACTATGGAGTGATATCAACCAGGGCCAAAGTCACTCTGGAGTGATATCAACCTAGGCCCAAGTCACTGTGGAGTGATATCAACAAGGGCCCAAGTCAATCTGGAGTGTTCTCAACCTAAGCCCAAGTCACTCTGGAGTGTTCTCAACCTAGGCCCAAGTCACTCTGGGGTGATATTAACCAGGACCACAGTCACTCTGGAGTGATATCAACCAGGGCCCAAGTCACTCTGGAGTGATATCAACCATGGCCCAAGTCACTTTGGAGTGATATCAACCAGGGCCCAAGTCACTCTGGAGTGTTTTCAACCAAGGCCCAATTCACTCTGGGGTGATATTAACCAGGACCACAGTCACTCTGGAGTGATATCAACCAGGGCCCAAGTCACTCTGGAGTGATATCAACCATGGCCCAAGTCACTTTCGAGTGATATCAACCAGGGCCCAAGTCACTCTGGAGTGATATCAACCAGGGCCCAAGTCACTCTGGAGTGATATCAACCAGGGCCAAAGTCACTCTGGAGTGATATCAACCAAGGCCCAAGTCACTCTGGAGTGTTCTCAACCAAGGCCCAAGTCACTCTGGGGTGATATTAACCAGGACCACAGTCACTCTGGAGTGATATCAACCTAAGCCCAAGTCACTCTGGAGTGATATCAACCAGGGCCCAAGTCACTCTGGAGTGATATCAACCAGGGCCCAAGACACTCTGGAGTGTTCTCAACCTAGGCCCAAGTCACTCCTGAGTGATATCAACCAAGGCCAAAGTCACCCTGGAGGGTTCTCAACCTAAGCCCAAGTCACTCTGGGGTGTTCTCAACCTAGGCCCAAGTCACTCTGGAGTGATATCAACCAAGGCCCAAGTCACTCTGGAGTGTTCTCAACCTAAGCCCAAGTCACTCTGGGGTGTTCTCAACCTATGCCCAAGTCACTCTGGAGTGATATCAACCAGGGCCTAAGTCACTCTGGAGTGATATCAACCAGGGCCCGAGTCACACTGGAGTGATATCAACCAGGGCCCGAGTCACACTGGAGTGATATCAACCAGGGCCCAAGTCACTCTGGAGTGTTCTCAACCTATGCCCAAGTCACTCTGGAGTGATATCAACCAGGGCCCAAGTCACTCTGGAGTGATAACAACCAGGGCCTAAGTCACTCTGGAGTGAAATTAACCAGGGCCCGAGTCACACTGGAGTGATATCAACCAGGGCCCAAGTCACTCTAGAGTGATATCAACCAGGGCCCAAGACGCTCTGGAGTGATATCAACCAGGGCCCAAGTCACTCTGGAGTGATATCAACCAGGGCCCAAGTCACTCTGGAGTGATATCAACCAGGGCCCAAGTCACTCTGGAGTGATATCAACCAGGGCCAAAGTCACTCTGGAGTGATATCAACCAAGGCCCAAGTCACTCTGGAGTGTTCTCAACCAAGGCCCAAGTCACTCTGGGGTGATATTAACCAGGACCACAGTCACTCTGGAGTGATATCAACCTAAGCCCAAGTCACTCTGGAGTGATATCAACCAGGGCCCAAGACACTCTGGAGTGTTCTCAACCAGGGCCCAAGTCACTCTGGAGTGTTATCAACTAAGGCCAAAGTCACCCTGGAGTGTTCTCAACCTAAGCCCAAGTCACTCTGGGGTGTTCTCAACCTAGGCCCAAGTCACTCTGGAGTGATATCAACCAAGGCCCAAGTCACTCTGGAGTGTTCTCAACCTAAGCCCAAGTCACTCTGGGGTGTTCTCAACCTATGCCCAAGTCACTCTGGAGTGATATCAACCAGGGCCCAAGTCACTCTGGAGTGATAACAACCAGGGCCCGAGTCACTCTGGAGTGATATCAACCAGGGCCCGAGTCACACTGGAGTGATATCAACCAGGGCCCAAGTCACTCTGGAGTGTTCTCAACCTATGCCCAAGTCACTCTGGAGTGATATCAACCAGGGCCCAAGTCACTCTGGAGTGATAACAACCAGGGCCTAAGTCACTCTGGAGTGATATCAACCAGGGCCCGAGTCACACTGGAGTGATATCAACCAGGGCCCAAGTCACTCTAGAGTGATATCAACCAGGGCCCAAGTCACTCTGGAGTGATACCAACCAGGGCCCAAGTCACTCTGGAGTGATAACAACCGGGGCCTAAGTCACTCTGGAGTGATATCAACCAGGGCCCGAGTCACACTGGAGTGATATCAACCAGGGCCCAAGACACTCTGGAGTGATATCAACCAGGGCCCAAGTCACTCTGGAGTGATATCAACCAGGGCCCAAGTCACTCTGGAGTGATATCAACCAAGGCCCAAGCCACTCTGGAGTGGTATCAACCAGGGCCCAAGTCACTCTGGAGTGATATCAACCTAGGCCCAAGTCACTCTGGAGTGATATCAACCAGGGCCAAAGTCACTCTTGGGTGATATCAACCTAGGCCCTAGTCACTATGGAGTGTTCTCAACCTAGGCCCAAGTCACTCTGGAGTGATATCAACCTAGGCCATAGTCACTCTGGAGGGAGTTGAGCCGGGTATTGAATTAGGTATTGAATTGGGCCTCACACACGGGTCGACAATATGTGTTGAAGTAGTACGTCAGACACAATGTTGCCACATTTAAATTAACTCATTGACATACCCCACAGTTACATGAATAATATCTTCGTATTCAACGTAACATCGAAAGGTGATCCTCATTTAAAAAAAAAATCAAATAAAAGATAGTGGGAGTTTGCCATTTGACATGCTGTTAGTTTCCAGGTCATGGGAGCATACATGATCAAATGGATTTAATAATACACCTCATGTATCGTCACATTGTTTTTTTCATATATGTGAGGATTGATTCGTTGTTCTCCCTCATCGTCTTAGACTTGACACTAAACACTTGAAATAGGATTGATAAACATTTATATGTCGTTTATTGTATCCTGTAGTATTTATAACACGCTGTTGTTTGTCGATACAAAATACGAATTAAAACTGGGAGTCTTCTCATGAAATTGCGTAACATAATCCATGTACGCACAATCTACATGTATGTCATTCCTCACACATGAAAATTGATGAATTTCACAACTATAACAATCCTAAACTCATTACAAACGACATCTAAATTTTTGTACACATAGTACAAGCGTTGACGTAAATGTATTTACTTTCAGCGAGATGTTTGAAACAGCGCACTGGAAGTTATTTAGGAAAGGCGTTTAGACGTGAACCTGGCTTTGGAAGCAATTTCAAAACAGAAAAGTCAATCGCTCTCTGTGGTATTTCAAACAAGGTATCGCTGTTCTGTTACAACCTGATCTTGATGGGGCACAT